TAAGTTATTGTTGGTGAAGTATTCTTCCCAGTCAGAACTTCTCAACAGATCTGATAGGAATTCCCAATCGGCATTCTTATAGTCCCTATATTGATAGTGCACCGGGGAAATTTTTAGGTGTGTGTTTAGTCGTTAGTCGGAGGGGTAGCGTGCAGTACAATATGTTGTGATAACTGTAATCAAGTTTATTTCCTACCTCTATCGAGATGGGCTCTATTTCATGACAAAGGATTAAGTCAAGAGTGTTTTCATTTGTTGTAAGGAGGCGTACGCACTGCTTCCATCCGCCTACGTCTATAGCTTGTAGTAGCTCGTCATGGATTCTAGGTCCAGTACATGTATCACAGTTTACTCCAGGTTCATACGATTTAAGATTAGCCCACGTTATGGATGAGTTACTGCTACAGTGCTTTCTTACAATTTTGAATAAGAGAAATAAGTTGCACTTCACTCTCCTTAACCATAAGGGTTTAAGTCCAGTCGAATACACCTATCAAGGTATTCTATTTGCTGATCATAGCCTAATATGCGTTTCGTCAGGAATCTTTGGACACTTTCAACTTTCCTCCTGTCTGCTGATTTAAAGCTACTGTATAAGTGGACACGGATGTTTTTTATATGAATGCAACCTTGAGCTTGTCATAAATCAAGTCACCTGGGAGCTGGTCATTTAAATCGCCAACTTCATATGCCACCTACATTTATGGCTAACGCCTCCACTAGGTCCTCTCTCTTATCTTAGCTTACCGAAATCTATGCGTGACACCCATAGGAATGTTATTAAACCGTAGTTTGGTGGGCGTAAATCCGCCATCGTGTGAACTAAAATACTGTGATTATGTCTTTCGTCACCGTCAACCGATAAGCCTTGTGTAAAGTAGGTAGGAGAACCTACAGTAAAATGATAGATTTAACAAAATATAATATAACACAAAAATGTGTGGAGTACTTCACCAACCGACTAACTAGACAAATGCTTCAACTTCAACCAACAGCACCTCGGCAATCTCCTCGACGAGATCAGATCAACAGACATACGGGAAACTTGCAAATTCGTCTTTGTTCGAGTCAACGCCATTAGAAAAGGATTGCGACCCCCATATGAAGGTCCCTTCCAAGTTATCAAACGTTCAGGCAAACACTTTACAGTGAACAAAAATGGAAGACGGGAGACTATTTATTTCAATTGATCGAATCAAACCAGCCTACACAGGCAGAGATTTTGAAGCTACATCGAAAACGGCACAACCAAATAATCAGACATTTGATTTCACCAAGTCTTCTGCACCCTCCATATCAAACACGTAGTGGTCGACAAATCAGTAAACCGGCTTGCTACGTTCATTTTATGGACTAAAAAAAATTACATCTTTTTTAATGTTTCGACATTATTATCATGACTATTACTATCTCTTCGTACACCTTGATGTAACTGTTACTATAAGAGCTAATTATCACGATGATTTATTTATTTATATGTATCTCAGCCACAAAACAGGTATCGCGCTTTTTCAGAAACGATTCATTTTCAATCCTCTAGGGGGCAGCCGTGTGGAGTGCGTAACCATATGATTGTACACTTTTTGCTTGGATGTTGAAATTAGAAACACTGTACATGACTCTTGTTTAAAACGATTTATCTTTAAATACATATAACTTCCGAGTGCAATTTGAAATACACTATACTGTCGGTAGCTTCGCCTTCTCTCTGGCCATTTCTGTCTACTCACTCCACTCAAACCGTGTTGTGTACTTTGGATTTATTGCAGGAACCTTTCATCCTTATCCGAAGACAACTCTACAACCGGAACACAGCTTCTATCAGTAGACACGATTCCAACAGTCAACGCTTCTGTGGATGATATAAATGATTTGTAGCAGTGGACTTTAACAACATATCCAAGTAACCTATTAATTAATATAACTCATTACTGCATTTTGATAATATATTGTTGCATTGTACTCTCATTGACTTGGATTTTTATTCGCATATTTGTTATGTTAATGAACTTGCTCTAGACAGTCCCCTACATATGTACAGGAGGCAAAGTGACTTTGTTTAAAGAACTGGACTCATCAATACATTTGTGCTGCACCAAATGTAGGCACAGAGAAAATACGTTAATGCGATTATACTCAAATAATAATATGAAGAGGTTGTTGCTTCTCTTTGGTGAATACTTCTGTCAGGGTTGCGCCTAAGGTCATATATGTCTTGTCTCATATAGCTTTGATGAGGCACTATTTTGGACTTCGGCATAAGATTCTACGGTATTAAGTGTATACAGATTTAGCTATCGAAATCGGCCATCGATCGTTTCAGTCAGATGACAACTTTTGCAGTCCTACTTTCTACTCTCTCTCTCTCTCTCTGAGAGGCTAGAATCTAGTTTCCGAAGTAGTAGTGCAGTGATGTTGTGGACTTCGAAATGTATGCTGAATATAACTGCGTGTAAAGTTAAAGGTTGTCAGTACTCTTAGCAGCCGATGCACAAAGCAGATTTCTGTGATGGCCATTACTGCTTTTCATATGCATACTTAGCGCTTATCCATCTGGAGTCCGACTCTGTCCATTTACGAGAGATGTCGATTCCACTTAAGCGGGACGCTAGTCATTTGTTTTATTAGTGCACGGATGAATATTGCCCGACAATTATTAGAACTGAAAGCTAATCCGCTTTCCATGGCCAAATTCTCTACGCTGATCAGATTTTCCTACACCTTGGTCGATTCATTTCCCACGGAATTCCACAATCTTCCATCATTTGTGTAGAGAACCGTTGGGGATGTTAAGCTACTCAGGTAATCGCTCATAAGATTCAGGAATAACAACAGACCAAGCATTGCTTCCTGTTATACCCCAGTGGTTCCCTTTCTCCACTTGCAGTGCACTCGGTTCATATTCCTGCGATCGCAAATACCAACGGGTTATCGAATAACATTTCGGAGATTTCCCTCAGTACAAAATCGAGTCGGAGGTGTATTATGCACAAGACACGGACTGAAATATTCTAGTTTTCCCATACTATAAATTTATTTCAAACTGCTCTTTAATTAATCCTTGCTACTTTTCGTCCTGATAGTTACTTGTGTTCGAATGTTCCTTGCCTTAATCGCCTAGGAGGCCTACCATCAATTACTAAAATTGTTAACAGTAAGGCTACGTACGGGTCTTTGGTAACTGAGTTAGGCAATTTAACTGCATCGTCACTGCCACCTATTGCTTGCCAATGTGATTGCACATTCCATATGAACAGGTGGTCGATTGTTAGCCTCCTTCGATATTTTCATACAGTAATCAGAAGCTACCTATGAAAACCTACACTGTATGTAAGCTGCTCACCAATGTTGAGTAATGATGATGATTTGAAGTCACCAGAAATGATGTCCTAGTCAAATCCCATAGTCGAGACCACATAGATTGCTGAGGTCATTTTTGGCTCGTGCTTTACTTCGAATGTGGATTGTCTGCGGGTTCTATGAATCATGAATCCGGTGTTGTTCACGGTTACGCGGTAACAGATGAACTTCGATAGTTCAGTCAATGTTGCATTGGCGAGTAGAAGTGACTGGAGGTTGCTGCTTATATAAATGGCAATGCCTTCGACGTCCCTCCCTTCAATACGCTGTTATTCCAACTATGGTCATTCTGTTGTCAACACTGGGCTATAACCAAGTATCTCTGTCAGAATGACAACTGACGATTCCATAACATAGACTTCACCTCGGATATCTCAATTCTGAAACTTCGAACATTGTTATAGATGTATTGATCGCTTTCTGTCACAGCACAGCTGTTTAGTTCGGTGATTGTATCTTCTTCGGCATAGTGTTTTACAGGTCTTCGACTGTTTGCTATGCACATAGAACGTACTTGAAATTATGTGGGCATCCAGAGTTTACTATCATAGACCTTGGTGTTCCAGGTCGGGAGAGTTTTAGTGGGTAAGGTAGCCTGCAGATAACCGTTATTACGACTCTGCTAGGCTTTAACTATTTTTGTACACTACGCAACCAATCCTCTCCCAAAATGCCAGCCGCCAGATCTAGGATAGTGTGTTTGACCAGAGTTGTTCAGCTGTGAAACCATCTTGAGCTCTGAGAGATGTAGGACCAGTTAATGACCGATATTTGTGATCATATTAGGTCTTGTTTCGTTTCCTTGGTTGAATTCAGAGTGAATAAGTCGTCTGAGAAGTTAGGTTTCAGAGAACCTTTAATTAATCTTTGCTACGCTTCGTTCAGAGACAATTACTTATTGTGTTCGAATGTTCCTTGTCTTAATCGCTTAGCAGGCCTACTACCACCATCATTACTAAAATTGTTGACAGTAAGGCTACGGTACGGGTCTTTGATAACTCACAGTTAAACAAGACTTCTTTCATCTTCGTTAACGCGTTAAACACAATATGTCTTTTATTTTATTGAAAAAAACAAAACAACAAACATGAAAACTCAGAAAAGTATTACGACAGCAAGGTTTTACTAAATTATTATTAATAGTATTAATAACGATTCTTATAGCAATCACCTCACGAAAAAAATAAATAAAAATAAAAACAAATCAATATCTGTCACAATATACTACTCATACGGTTGGAATAGACTACAACTGTCGTCTAGCAATTGATTTTTTGCATATGTAGTAGTACAATATATATATATATATTTTTAAAAAAAGGAGTACCAGACAAAAATGGATTACACATGAGAGAAAGGGAGGGAGGGAGGGAGAGTTATAAAAAAGTGTGTGAAGCCAGTAGTGGAGAGGGTGGGTGGGCGGCAGGGTTTTTTTGAGATATATGATCAACTGTACATATATATAATTCACTCCTTTTTTGTTTGTTTCAATTCTTCTCCGTTCGTCTCTATTTATTTTCATTTAAAAAAATAATGATAATAAACAGCGCGTAATTCGAAACACAACACAGCCAAGAGTAACAAACGCGACATGACTGACAAGTTTTTATCAGAATAAAAATGTGCACAATAGTATAAAGATATATATATATATATATATATATATATACCAATACTTATGAAGATAATGATCAATGTGGTAAAGAAACAGGAGAATAAATTGGTTGGAAAAATGGTATTTTTTTATTCTCAAGGCTGTGACAGACAACAAAATATGACAGAAGAGAGAGAGCGTTACACAAAATGAATGAATGAATGAACGTCAGTCAGTCAACCGCCCCCCCCCCCCACCTCGGACCACAAACCATGCATAAAAACTATGATTACTTATTGCATAATTAAAATTTGAATTTCACTCCCACACACACATATATATTGGTTATATTTGAGAAGAAAAGAAACTGTAAACTTGTATTTTATTTCGTAATAGTAGTAGTAGTAGTAGTGATAATAATAGTAATAATCTGAAAATAGGAAAAAGGCGCAGGGATCAATGGATGATGATGATGAGTGAAGTGCGAAAGTGCCACACTGTGAGATTCACTCCCAATTCTCCCAATCGTCAGCCTAAAATGAAATGTGTATACACACACAATCAATAAACAATTAGGCAAGCAAGGTGGGGGGTGAAGGAAGGGAATTTGGTATTCTTAAAAAAATAAAACAAAAAATCAGTCAGTTGTCGCACATTCAAAAATAAATATTCCCACATATATATATTGAGTAGTCATCAGATAACTAAGAGGACGTGAACACTGAAGGCAATTTTCTCTTCAACGATTCATCTCTCCTTATTCATAAGCTGATGCAGAACGATCGCAAATATTACATTTATAAAACACAAAATAAATGAGTCAGAAAAGAATATCCTTTTCGATAACTTCCTCCTCTTCTCGCTCTACAGTTATATATATGCATGTTTATTTATATACATAGAATATTCTAGATTAGTAGTCAATATCAGTATAAGAGTGCTTTTTAAATAATGTCGATTTGTGAAGTAAGATCACAATGGAATCAGCACAGTTCATTAAAGATGCTTAATTATAATAATAATAATAATAATAATAACAAAGATATAGTAGCAAATAGATTATCAACCAAAATTAGGAAAATTCCACAGGCCAGTTACATAGGCCGTACAATTAGGCGTGTTTCTCGTCGAATTTACGAACATCACACTCCATAGTGAGTGGTTAAGCAAAGGACAAACAAAATCTATTCGCAGCGCTATTTTGGTTCATCTTGTGGATACAGAACACAAGACTGATTGATGTTAACCAGGCGGATTTCAGGGTAAATTACCGCATACCTACGAACCTCAATTTCGCCTTAAGAGTTCGACTGCTAAATATTCCTGAGGCTGGCTGGCTGGCCACTGGATCCAGATTAACAAGCCTAATTTGTGCATCCAACCAAAAGAAGTTGGTTGGTTCAGACATTATCCTTACCTCGGCTTGGCTATCCAGGTTTGAATGATCCTGAATTTTAGTTGATATTCTATTTGCTACTATATCTTTTTTATTATTATTATTATTAATTAAGCATCTTTAATGAACTGTGGTGATTCCATTGTGATCTTACTTTGCAAATCTACATTATTTAAAAAGCACTCTAATACTGCTATTGACTACTAATTTAGAATATTCTATGTATATAAACATGCATATATAGATAGAATTGTAGAGTCAGAGGAGGAGGAATTTATCGAAAAGGATATTCTTTGCTCGATTATTTCGTGTTTTATAGATGTCTGAATGAATATTTTTGCTATATTACATTTAACAAAGAATTCATAAGACGACCGATCAGATACTGGTAAAATTTACAGAGTACTACTTAACACTGTTTTCTTTTCTTTTCTCCCTTTCAGTAAAAAAAAAACACCCAGGAGCAAGAGGTAAAACGTGTGTATCAGGACTCAATATCAATGATGGTAATTAGATTGTTTTGTTTGTTTGTGAGGGCTTCACCCGCTGTACTAAATACACACGCTCTTACCGAGCTCAAATTCTGCTTTTCTTCCTGGCGTGACTATTGCTCATTGTTTTACGCAAGGTGTCGTCTTACAAGAGGTGACTAATTGGAAATTAGAAAAACGGGGCAGAAGTTAGGATGATGCAGTCAGTGTCAGAAAATGACTAATCAATACAACTGTTATTCAAGTGTTGGTTTGTAGGGATTTGATTGGTTACAGGATTTTCATCATGAGCTGACATTAGTTAGAGAACCATTGGAAAACCTGGGACAGCTGTTCCGTCCAGTGAGCAGTCGTGACCAGTAGGGTGCAGCAGGTCGGGTGTGAGGAAAAATACTCGCCACCGAAGACATTGGCTAGGGGTCGCGCTATGTCGTGAATTGGCAGAAGTTAGAATTCATGGGCCATTGGATCGGGTCTCAGTGGCTTAATGGTATACGAGCTCGCCTTGTAACCAGAAGGTCCTGGGTTCGAATCTCGGTGGGTGCGTGTTGATGAAGAGTCACAAACTAGGACGAAACAGCCGTCCAGTACTCCCAGGTTTTCCAATGGCTCTCTAACTAATTTCAGCTCATGATGAAAATCCTGTAACCAATACAATTGTGTAGAGTGATAATAATGATAGTAAAATAATAATAATACTAATAAACTTACTCACTTACTACGTCACGCCAACTTCTACCCCCACTTGCCTAATTTCCAACTAGTCGCCTCATCTAGACTACACCTTGCATTAGGTAATATGTTTTCGAGGACAAATTTAACCAGTATCTGATTGGTCGTCTTATGAATTCTATGTTAAAAATATAATTACGATTGTACAGAAGCTTATGAAAATGAATGGTCGAAAAAAATGTTTTTCTTCGGTGTTTGCGACTTTTTCTTATGATGTTCAAAAATCCTTTATTTTTTACTATAGCTTGATTCCACATCGTATGGAGTTTTCAGCATGTGATATCGGTAGCCCGAATTTTCACAGGCCGACCATTGATACCACGTGTACATGGTCGGTGAGAGTCCTAACCGCTGTGCCACCGACGCACAATTAGATCGACGAAGGTGTGGTTAGAACTATACACACTTCAGTTAAAAGTTGACACCTGCTGATATATGCCCCTACAAGTGATGTCATCAGTCAGATCAAAAATAAGTCACATGTTGCGCGTCGACCAATCAGAATCCGGTATTCCGTTAATAACACCTATTAGTCGAGCCTTCTGACTGCAATAATAATAATAATAACAACATATGCCATATATTTTTGTGCTCTTCGACACCTCGGTGACACACTCACTGACGAAGTTTTCTACCCAAGGATCTTTCAAGTACGAGAAAATCAGTCTCATGTGAGAGGAAAAAAAAGCCAACCGACAAATACAACATACTGCTGGCCATTATCAGAGTAAGACTTTCCAGTTAGTGTCTTCGTTAGCTGTCCGCAAACAAACAACTCCCACCCAACCTTCTATTTTCTTTCAGCTCACTACCTAACGGTTAGGTGACGTTTAGTAGTGTGTGTGTGTGTGTGCGTGTGTGTTGAAATGGAAATCGAACCCTGAACCATGTGAGTGTTTGGCAGGTATATTCACTCCAATCTAGAACCACTGACACACTGAACTAAGTAAGCCAGGTTAACAGAATGTGTCTTCTAGAATACAAAACAGGGTTGGGGAGGTGAAAAAAATGCGCTGCCCTATCTACCTGACCACAGCGATGAATATCCAACGACAGTCAGCATCAAGAGTTATAGTTATCAAATTATGCATAAAAGTCGTCAAAGATCCATTACCATCTCATCTCTTTCTAATCTCTAAATCTTCAGGATTATGAGAATTGAACCCGAATCCCTATGTACAGTAACTTAGTTTCACTGTCAGTCTTCACATTTAGTGTGATGTTGGTTGAAGCGTTCCTAAATGCATCACGTATTAACTGTCTTCAACACACACAGAAAAACGAGATGAAACTGTTGCAAGACTGGCAGTAGCCTGTACCTGCACTCACTATTGCCCCAGATGAACCGTTTAAAGTTGGTGGAAAGTTCGTGTATCTGAATAGTTGTGTGAGTGCTGGTGGAGGTGAGGTGTGATGGATGTCTCCGACCGTCAACTTGAGCCACCTCTGGTCTGGCGCAGTCATCACGTTAGCCTGGTTGTCAAAGGTCGGGTTTACAATGCTTAGCGACGTGCTGTCTGCCTCTACACCTGTGAAACCTGGCTTCTCAATGGGTGGGCTTAGGATGTGCAGCGACTCTGCCTATTCGATCATCTCTGTTTCCGTAGAATCTCTTGCGTTCGATGGCATCCTCGTGTGAGTAATTCTGATGTCAGGCGGCGTGTGTTTAGACACAGTGAAAATCACCATTAGTTGAGTGTTATCGTCATCTGGAAACATCGGCTTCGGTTGCTTGAACATGTCATCTCAGAAGCTTCTGTACATGTATACCTCTGTTCGCCAGCCAGTCCTGGATGGAAAAAGCGGAGAGGTGGTCAGCCGATGAAGTGACGTCATGGGATGCAGGATATTTGGGTTAGGTTACCTTCGGTTGGTGCGTCATGACTCCCTTGGTTGGAATCCGAGAGGCAGTGGCTCGAAGCGTCATCGGATATGGCTAAGAATTGTAATTATCAATGGCGAACTTCGTGCTGCAATTTCCTTCTTTCTTCCCTTTCTGAGAATACTTGACGAACACTGTTTGATCTTGTGAAATATAACCTGCCAGATGAAGTCCTTTATATTCATTCTCTGCCTACTTTGTATTTTTCATATGGTGTTTTATTATTGTTACTGTGTGGCGCATCATCTCGGTATCATATTGTACAAGGTTTTGTGTTTTACATAAAATAAATAATAATGGTTACCCTAAACCATAGCAACCTAAAATAAAACGACCTAGTAAACGGATTAACGACCTTGAGCAGCCAGTCAGATAAATCCGTAGTGTATCGGCGGAATTAGTGGCGCCATACACGAATTTGAAAGAGGTCACTTCATTCACTTATCTAGGGAGCATTGTCTGTCTCAATTACAGGAGAAACGGACGAGGATGTCAAATCGAGAATCGGGAAGGCGAGAAACACATTCATCAACCTCAAACCAATCTGGAAATCTTCGTCACTCAGCAACACTCAACAACAAAGTTCGGATTTTCAATACAAACGTCAAGTCAGTCAGTTCTTCTATACGCATCAGAAACGTGGCGGGTCACAAAGAATATTTCCAACAGCCGGTTGCACACCTTTATCAACAACAACTGTATTCGCTCCATACTGAAGATCAGATGGCCGGAAAGAACAAGAACCAACAAGAAACTATGGGAACGAACAAACGAAACAAGAACCAATCGCTCAACAAATATGCAGGAGAAAGTGGAGATGGATTGGACACTCGCTGAGGAGGCCACTCGCTGGGTGACATCGCGCGTCAGGCCATCGCTCGAGTGGAACCCGAAAGGGAAGCGACGAGTAGTGAGATGTCGAAGGGTGACATGGAGGAGATCGTGCGAAGAGGAGTTGAAACAGTATGGACTAACATGGATGCATGTGAAAAGTACAGCAGAAGACTGAAGTAAGTGGAGACGTGCAGTTGAAGCCCTTTGTTTCACTAGGAACCCAAGGGAACAATAATAATAATACACGAATTGTGCAGCCAATTTTATCCAAATCTAGTATTCAAGTACTGCTCACGGCAACAGGCCGGCTGGTTCATTGGAAGGAAGAAAACAACTCGTGTAGCTAGCTACCTGACAATCCCTGGGCTATATCCATAACTTCGTCAATCATACGCATACGAACGATTTCGTTAATTCTTTCGATCGGGACTCGCATAAATTCCATCGAAAGCTTCTAGACTCACCTAAAACAAAGAGGGTCGGAGCGGTGAATCAGTCAAGAATGAAACACGATATGATATATTACAGTCGTCTTGACAAATTTACGCATCGAAATTCGTCTCACCACCTAACTATGAGAACTGCTATGACAAAATTGGAAGGTTTTCTCGGAAATTATTCTATGTAACTACTACTTTTCAACGCTGCATTACTTATCTGCCATATATATAAACGTCTTTCTTTTTTTCAAATTACGCACTTCTGATTCCGACGTGTCTGATTGGTCGATAGGAGACTTGTCAAGGTCTTTATTAGGTAGTTTTGTTTTAGACTGCTATATAGATTAGAGGCACCTAAATAATAATAATAATAATAACCCCAAGGCAATGTGCAATTTAAACACCTACATCATCATATCAGCATCCGAGAAGATGTACTATTTTTTCTTGGGGAGGGGGGTGAGGGTTGGGAAATAGAATAAACTTAGAAAAAAATAAGGGTACATAGGCTAGAACTTGATGATAGTTAGTCGGATGTCTGCGTAACTGTGCCAATACACATGCACATACACAAGGCTGATCGTATAAATCCAATTAGGTAGGCGATGGTGGTGGTGGTGGAGCCTACTTTCTCGCATGACAGTCTTCTCTACTACCTACGCCAGTAAGCTACAGCTTCAATAGAATTAAATTAAATCCAATCATAAACTATAAAAAATTGTCGATTTGATTAGGTTCCAGTTTGACCACGGCCGTTGTAAACCACAGCTACAGAGTACTGGACAACTGTTGTTCAGTTCAGTCCTGCTTTTGGAACTCTCCACAGCCAGCCGTACACACCCACAACCCTACCGGGGATAGACCTTGGAGCTTAGTAGAACAGGATTAGTAAAGATAAACTCAATCAGTTAAATTTGATTCAAAGTAGATATTTACAGTTTCCTTGGTTGGAGGCTTAGCGGCACTTGTGACTTTGTTCTTGTCATCAGTTGAATGATCAATACTGTCGGCTTCATCTTCAGAATCATCATCGTCATCACCCCAACCACCATCTGAAATGAAAATTGAACAAATAAAAAAATAATACTTGCACAAATCGAATTACATGGATTACATGATTCTTGGGAAATGAAAAGCGATAATGATAATAAAAAACAAGTATGAAAATAGTGGATATTCTTCAAATAGATGAAAACACTCTTACATAAATCTTCATGCATTCACGAATATGTGCCGCCAACCAAAGTAAGAAAATTATTCTGCAAACACTATAATTATGCACTTTCCACTCGACTCCAAAGATTTTTAAATATTATTATTATTGCTTCCTTGGGTTCCAAGTGGAACATACGGCTTCAACAACACAACTCCACTCTCTCCACTGTAGTCTTCAGCTGGCTTGCCCCACGATTGCCCATAATCTTCCATCTCATCCTCCCTCCATATCACAATGGCACGGACCACCCACTCGTTTGTCGCTTCCCATTGGGATTCCACTCGAGCGATGAAATGCATTTGGTGTCGGATGTCATTCGAAGACCTCCTTCCTCAGCGTGTGCCAGATCAATCCACCTCCATCTTCTCGGGCATATTTGTTGAGCAATCAGACCGCTCTTGGTTGGTTGGTTCGCTCATCGCCAGTCAGAGTTTCTTGTTGGTAACTGTTTCTGGACGGCTATCTGGCAATTTAATCTTGAGTATGGAGCCAGCCAGCCAGCCAGTCATCGAGAGTAGCAGCTATTGATAAAAGTCTGCAGTGACCTGCTGGAAATCTTTTTCGTGACGCAAGCACAGACCATGATTCTGATCCATGTAGGAGCACTAACTGACTTCACTGACATTTGTGTTGAAAATGTGAATCTTGTTGCTTATGCTAGCTGAGGCGGAGTGAAGCAGATTTCCAAACTGGTTTTCGGTTGATGAAGGCTTATCTTGCCTTTCCCATTCTGACTGGCTTTGACGCGTAGATCCGCTCCAACTGCCGGTGGCTGAAACGATGCTGGCTGCCTAGGCTAGATAAGTGAAGGTAGGAAGTAACCTCTGTCAACCTCTTTCTCCCATTGATGGTGATTAGTGCTGGTTGGTCATCTTCATCACCTACGTTTCCACCTTCTCCATGTTCATTACCTGGATGGAATATATCCTGTCTTTGCTGCCAGCTAATCAACCAGCCTCTTTAGTCAGTTTGTTGCCAGTTTTCGCCTGCCTCCACGTCTTCGACTTTGTGTGAGATTCAACGGCATAAATCAGCCACACGCGAAATCCATATCTTCTGGAGTCTTCACATCGGTCAGTACAGCAAATTCCTGTCTTGTCAATCACTCACTCACTCTCTCCCTGTGCACAGTCTGACGCACAATACAGCCCACCAAAAATTAGGAATATCATCTTTGATGATAACAGGCAGCCAGGCAGTTAATATTACTGTACAACACTGTGTGATTTATCAAAATAAAACCTTATCCATAATGGAGTTATGCTCTACCACAGTGCCCAAGTTTTATACTTATATCAACTGCTGATTTAGGTTTGTGAATTTTATTTTGTGCACATTTTATGGACACTCTGTATTGTTGAATCGATTATCTAATTGTTTCGGGATTGACCCTATATAATATCAATGTTGATAATGTTGAAGAACCAAGAGTTGGCTGTCATTCTATGCTCTCTCTTCGAAGATGATGATCCGTAGAGTTGCACTTTGGTTTACTTTTCTTGAATCCAGATTATTCTAGGCAGAGTTAGGCACCTGAAACATCTTGCAGCCTGTCCAGGATAAAGAAGCCTTGTAGTTTACTCAGATTCAACAGTAGCACGATGTGGTGGCAGTTCTTGCAAGTTGGGATTCATGAACTGGCTATTGTGCATCAGGTCCCAGTAGCTGCTTAATGGTCTGCGAGCTCGCCTTTTAACCAAAATGTTCTGGAGTCAAATCCCCGTGTGGTGTGTGAGTACTGCTGAAGAGGAGTCCCAAACTAGGCTGTAAAAAAACAGCTCTGTGTCCAGTAATCCCCAGTAGTTTTCCAATAATTCTGTGACCCAACCCATGTCACCTCACGATGAAATCCTGAAACCAACACTGAGAATAAAGATTCTTCTTCAGGAAGCAGCTCTATATGTTTAGTATGCCACTTTCTTGAGAATCAATAAAAAAAAAAACAAATTCAACAACATCAAAGTTCCCATCATCTCGCTGGCTCACAGTATCAGAAAAATTTGTAACGGTGACTGCTCAGAAGAACGGCTTCTATTTCTCAAAAACAACCTGGCTACAAATGGATATGCAACGCGTTTCGTGGAGTAGAGCGTGAAAGCAGAGCCAAAAAGGGAATTCAAGGGAGACATCTTCAAAAGGAGAATCTCCAGGTGCCTAAAGAAGACCTATCCTGCAGCGACTCTAAAGAGTGATATTCTCCAGCTGCCCACTGATTTGGAGTAATGTGAAGAACAGACCTCCGTATATGACCACTTCAATGAGCATATATCAGTTAACCTGCTCGTGTGAAGCTAAGTATACATAGGTCGTTCCGTCCTGTGCGGGTTCTATCAAAACGTGTTGGAGAGCATTACTCAGGAAGGCTGAAAAGAGGAGGCACTGATTCAGTCAGCAGCTCCATAATTGAACACCTCGTCAGCACACCTGTCACACAGCATCTCAACTGACTCATTATGTAGAGTCGTTTACAAAGTTAGGAAAATTCTATCAGAGGTAGTGTGTTGCCAACTTCTTTGTCCTCTAGAAGCCCTCGCGCCATAAGCATTGAGAAAACCGGAGCTGTGTGTACAAAAAAGAAACTGGTTCAACCTCTACATTTACCATGCTTCTATAGTTCGGTTTGTCTCCTTTGGTCCCGTGTTTTCATTCCTTGCATCCCCCCCTTTTTTTCAGTTTTAAAATATTATTCTCTCAACTTGTTCCGATGCTCATCTCAGTCATACCTTCAGTCATCAAACAGGATTTTCTAATCCCGTATGATTTTGTCACCAAGCTCCTTATAATCTATTTTCACAACTTCAAACTTTCGTATCAAATTGAAAATTATTCCGACCATTAATTTCCCCCTTCGCGTTAACTACGTGGAGTTAAATAAATAATAACTGTATCTGTGTAAGCTTATGTGTATATAAATGCGATTGCAAAGCTATTTTTTAAAAATTAAATCGCCCCCCCTCCCTTGTGCAGAAATTCTTGTTCCCCTTTCACCATATAAAAAAAACACTGAGTAACTAACTCACCAGAATCAGAAGATTTTTCTTCAGACAGAAGAATGTCAGAGGGGGTGTTCGTAGTCATCGTTTTTGGTTCAACCCGACATCCTCCTGTAATCACAGTGTTGTCTACTTCCTCTTGATCAACTTCATCTGTAAGAATTACCACCGATGAAGAACCAGAAGTCATTTCTTCAAAATCAGACAACACATTCGTGGAATTCTGATTTTCTGTCTAAAACGAGATTTGTAATGATGATAAAGCGAGAGTCAGAGAGAGAGAGAGAGAGAAAGAGAAAACATTGTTGCTTGATGATAAATAATTTTACTTTCGAAAATATATATATATATATATATAGACAGAGGACAAGTAGTTCAGCGAAGAGTCTCTTTTCGGCGGCGAATTCATTCTCATAGCTGTACAATCGCAAATATATATGGTTGTTTTGTATGTGTGTGTACACTAAATTTGTCAAACGAAAATACAATTAGTAAGTTCAGATAAATTGGATGTTGATATAAGAGCGTAGTAATAAAAGTGATGAGTTGTCACAAACGACTGTTAAAGAAGAGTTGCCTAATAACATGAATAGTTTAATGGAAGAGTTGTACTCAGGTTGTACATGGGAACAAAGTAACGTACGGAATTACACAAGGGTTTTAAGTAGTTAGAAAAATAAGCATACAAACAAAAGTTAAGTCAAAACAACACAGTTGTTACGATGAGAGTAGAAGTGGTTGAATAATTTTCCTTTGTATGTACAGTTCTGGTTCCTCTAACTTAATGGCTAGGGCCTCTGCGATGCAAAGAAGACGGAATCGTACTGTCTTTGGAAGGTTGTTCTTCACTTTGTAGATTAATTTGAAGCAGGAGGCGTTTGTTGAGATGGAATGACCAGTGTTGACGAGGTTTTCTATTATTGCACTCCTTATGCAGCCATTACTTCCTTTCTGTAGCCACGCTGGATAGTGTTCTCTGACCCTTTTTGACAGGATACGTGTTGAACGACCGATGTACCTGGCTCCACAGCAACAGGTGAACTGATATATACACATAGAAGTGGTCAGGTGCGGGATCTTGCCTTTTGGGCTTCTGCAGATCAGCGGGCGACTAGAGAAGACTACTCTCAATGTTACCGTAAAGAAAGTTCTTCTTGAAGAGGTGGAGATCCTCCTTCTAAGGACGTCACTGAGTAGGTCTCATATAAAGGTTCATATAAAGTATCTTTTTTGGCACAGATGCTGTTTCTTGCTTTTGGATTTTTGTTTGATGTTTTTGTCCACGAATCTTGATGGGTAACCGTTTTGTATGAAGGTTTCTCTCAGGAAGTTTAGTTCTTCTTCCATGGAATCAGAGCTGCGAATGCGTCGGACGCGAGTGGCAAGAGATCTAATTAAGTTTCTTTTCCGACTGATTGGTACCCTTGTGTAATTTCGTATATTTTGTTTCCATGTACACCCTGAGTACAACTCTTCCATTAAACTATTCATGTTATTAGGCAACTCTTCTTTAACAGTCGTTTGTGACAACTCATCACTTTTATTACTACGCTCTTATATCAACATCCAATTTATCTGAACTTACTAATTGTATTTTCGTTTGACAAATTTAGTGTACACACACATACAAAACAACCATATATATTTGCGATTGTACAGCTATGAGAATGAATTCGCCGCCGAAAAGAGACTCTTCGCTGAACTACTTGTCCTCTGTCTATTAATGTTCGAATGGGAATTTTTCATTAATATATATATATATATATATTTGCGCAACACATTTCGAACAATCTGATCACACACGGACTTGTCATAGGAATATATATGAAATTAATAAAGAGGTAAGAGGTAAGAAAATAGACTTAGGTCAAGTTTAAAGGACATATTCAAGGTCAAAGTAACAATGAAGACCACTAAACCAAATAACAGAGGTAATAGTACATCTGCTATGGTGTCAAAACAAAATTTACCAAGGAAGGTTTAATGTGATGACAAATTGTTTTTGAACGCATAAAGGTGGCTTAAACTTTCTAGTTGCTAGGGCTTCCACAAACTTTAGGATACGCCCCAAACACGTTTTATAGATAGGTTTAAAAGATCTGTTAACGTCAATTTTATGTCCTGTTTCTATAATATGTTTTGCAATAGAGGAGCTAGGTCTCCTGTTCTCACCATTAATGGGTTCTGAAGATTCAATTTGTTTCTGGAGCCATTTAGGAATATGCTCTGAAGCCCTTACTTGCAGAGATCGATGAGTCCTCTCTATGTATGTGTGTCCACACGTACATTCAAATTGGTAAATACAGTGGGATGTGACGTCATTTTTCTCATGTTCGAAGGGTTTAGATAGATATATTGGCTTAACATCTAAACCCTTCGAACATGAGAAAAATGACGTCACATCCCACTGTATTTACCAATTTGAATGTACGTGTGGACACACATACATAGAGAGGACTCATCGATCTCTGCAAGTAAGGGCTTCAGAGCATATTCCTAAATGGCTCCAGAAACAAATTGAATCTTCAGAACCCATTAATGGTGAGAACAGGAGACCTAGCTCCTCTATTGCAAAACATATTATAGAAACAGGACATAAAATTGACGTTAACAGATCTTTTAAACCTATCTATAAAACGTGTTTGGGGCGTATCCTAAAGTTTGTGGAAGCCCTAGCAACTAGAAAGTTTAAGCCACCTTTATGCGTTCAAAAACAATTTGTCATCACATTAAACCTTCCTTGGTAAATTTTGTTTTGACACCATAGCAGATGTACTATTACCTCTGTTATTTGGTTTAGTGGTCTTCATTGTTACTTTGACCTTGAATATGTCCTTTAAACTTGACCTAAGTCTATTTTCTTACCTCTTACCTCTTTATTAATTTCATATATATTCCTATGACAAGTCCGTGTGTGATCAGATTGTTCGAAATGTGTAGCGCAAATACATTACACGATTCAGACAAATTACGTCTTCTTATTGCTTTATCTAAATTCATAAAGGGAACTAATTGTTTTAAATTATTATTATTATTATTAATTAAGCATCTTTAATGAACTGTGGTGATTCCATTGTGATCTTACTTCACAAATCGACATTATTTAAAAAGCACACTAATACTTTTATTGACTAGTAATTTAGAATATTCTATGTATATAAACATGCATATATAGATAGAATTGTAGAGCTAGAGGAGGAGCAATTTATCGAAACGAATATCACTTTGCTCGATTATTTTGTGTTTTATAGATGTCTGAATGAATATTTTTTTTGCTATATTTTTATAGTGTCATATATTCTATGAAAATTAATGGAGTTAATAATAGAAAGGAAGTTAGAAAGTTGTGAGATTAACACTCGATTTGATGACGATGCGCAATGCGCAAATTACGCTGGAAATGCGTCGTCATCAGCAGTAAATATTTTACTGTGAGACTTTATGAAAATAAAAATTTTTTCTTATCCACAATGGATTTACACACTCCACCACAGTGCACAAGGTCTATCCTTATATCAATAAAGTCGCTTGTTAGCCTACAATTTATCCGAGAATTAATGAGAACACACTAATAATAATAAAGCCGCTTACCGATGATGTCGTCAAGGTGTCTAGTCTAGCCTCTTTCGTCTCAATTTTACCAGTTGACAGCCTTCTCTCAGTGTTGTGAGTGTCAGTCATCAACAGAGGCATATCAGTAGTAGTAGTAGTAGTAGTAGGCTCATTCGTTGACTTTTTGCAGCTTCGCTTTTTCCTGCGTTTTTTCTCACTGACACCACCACCACCACCAATGGATATGCGAGCTTTAGAATTATTATCCTCGTCTGAAGTATTACCTCCACCACCAAAACCATCAGCATCACCACCGCCGCTAGACACAGAAGGATGCTTAGTACTGATGAGAGTAGTAGCGGCGCTTGCAGTTGCTGCGGTATCATCATCACCCTCACCACCACCACCACTGATTTCAGTAATTAGTTTTTCATCATTTGTTTTAATGACTGATTCATCATTTTCCACTGCCGTATGCTCATCACTATCCAAGGTATCTACAACAACAACAAAAAATAAAAGGATGAGAAATATGTCTAAATTTTGAGGTGATACTTTGCAATGTGTAGAGACTTTACTAACCAGTGGACTTAAGATCAGGGGCACAATTCGAATAATAGTGTGGTGAGAGCTGGCTGCTAGCCCAAAGTTGGTAGACAGTAATTGACGTCAATGTTGTTGATGTCCCAAATATTGGTGGTGGTGAGAAAATGAGAACAAAGAATTCGCGTAGGCGAATGCAGTGAGCATATGGATGATCTGACACAGCCACAAAGAGATGCAAGGTTAACTTTCTGTGAGAAACAACCACCAATCAAAAGACTGTATTTTCTATTAACAATAATCTGCAATAATGTACATTAAAATCTATAAATATGTGTTGATTTTCCTTAATAAACGATCTGTTTCCTGACCCCTGTCCTCTGTTGTTACAATAGTAGCAACAATGACAGAATATCTATCATCTGTCGGTTTAATCGCTATTTCAATACAAGTGATGAGTGTAATTCAAATCCTACAGCATTTACAACGAGGAGACGACAGAAACGTTTTCCAAACATTTACACGTCCTTCGAAAGAGGAGTGAAAACAGGAGTAAGGACAAGCTGACTGCGTAGTTTCACCAACACTTGAGGATATTGGATTTTCATCATGAGCTGATATTAGTTAGAGAATCACTGGAAAACCTGGGAGTACTGGACAGCTTTTTCGTCCTAGTTTGGGACTCTTCATCAGTACGCACCCATCGGGATTCTTCATTATGGTCAATTGGATTATGCGTCAGACTGTCTGTTGGCAGTGAGTGAGTGAGTGAGAAGACAGGAATACGCTGCACTGACCAACAAGAAGAAGATTCTAGAAGATTAAATTAAACGAGTCATATTTTCAAGTAGTGGTTTTGTGGGGCTTTGTTTCTTTGATTGGTTGGAGGATTTTATCATGAGCACTGACATCAGTTAGAGAACAACCATTGGAAAACCACCTGAGAGTGTACTGGAGAGCTGTTTCGCCCTAGTTTGTGGTTCTTCATAGTACGCACCCACCCCACAACGGGTTAGAACCCAGGACTTCCTCGTTACAAGGTGAGCTCGTAGACCATCAAGCAGCCAATGGGAACCAATCCAATGGCCAGTGTCCACGAATTCTAAGTTCTGCCAATTCATGCTCGACATAGCGCGACCACTTCGCAATGTCTTCTTTGATGAGTTACTGCCTCACCTTCAATCTGCTGCACCCTACTGGTCACGGCTTTCCACTAGGACAAAGATCACTACTGCCTGAATAAGGCCAGTCGCTAGTGGGTATCAGGTCTTGAGGTTAGAACCAGTGGCCCAATGGTCTACGAGCTAGCTCACCTTGTAACCAGAAGGTCCCGGGTATGAACCCCTTGTGGTGGGTGCATACTGATGAAGAGTCCCAAACTAGGACGGGGGAAACAGCTGTCTAGTACTCCCTGCAGGTTTTCCAATGGCTCTCTAACCAATGTCAGCCGGTCATGATGAAATCCTGTAACCAATTAAACGGGTAATAGTTTGAAACGCACAGGATAAAAACAGTTCACACTAGTTTAATACACATAGTGTCAGCCTTCAAATGAATTTAGGGCGTGGAATGATGCGTCACATCATCATACGGAAAACCATTACAAAACACTTCACATACACTTTACAGCATGTGGTGGAAACACTCATTATTTGATGTGTGAGTTGTGTTGACAATTTAACCAAATAACAGTTGGAAATAAGACATGTTCACTGGCCCATTTTTCATCAGAGGTGTCTGTGCTCTATTTCCGCCTCCCCCCCCACACACACTCACCGTCTTAGGTAATATAACAATTTGAGTAATATTGAAGTTAGGTGTCGACTGATAGATAGGTAAGGAGGAGGGAAAATCAATAGATGAGGTTGTGAACTTACTTTGATTGATTGTGAGATGCCTAGAAAATGTATGTTACACTCCTGCACTACTAACAATCGCCTTTTCTTCGACGGGTAATGTTACCTGATATAGAATCAGCTTGGGAAAGAGTTAGCAGTGGCTGTGCTTTCTACATTATTGTTCCTTCTTTCACCTTCACATTTCTGCTAAAAAAATGCAGTCTTCTGAACACCTTGAGCAGCAATCTTCGTATGCTTGGAATGCGATTCGCCTCTGTGAAGTGTAAGATGCTGATACAGGACTGGACTACGTCAACTCTTAGCTTAGTGATAGGGAGTGAAGTGTAAGAACATGTTGACCACTTCACCTATTTGGGAAGTTGTATCAGCACCAACGAATTGATTGGTGACGAAATCTCAGCACGGATCCAAAAAGCTCGGGCTGCTTTCGCTAACTTACACCGTCTCTGGCGTAGGCGTGACATCCGGCTATCAACCAACCAAGGGACGTATGTACTGCTCAGCAGTTCGCTCCGTCCTTCTCTATGGCTGGCTCTGAAACATGGCCAATACGAGTTGAAGACATGAAAAGGTTGACTGTTTTGATCATAGATGTTTACGATCTCTTTCTCACATTAGGTGGTATAATAAGGTAAGTAATGTTGACGTTAGGTTAGGCGTAGAGTGTTGGGTAAAGAGGGAAAATCAATCGAAGAGGCTATAAAGTCACATAGATTGAGATGGCTAGGTGACGTGCTGCGCATGCCTAACCATCGCCTCCACCTCCCGACGAGCATTACTAGCTGATATAGGTGCAGGTTGGAAAAGAGTAAGTGGTGCCATGCCAAACAAAAACATGGCCTCATCAATCCATGAAATCCCTGACAGTTAAACTGAGTCAGTCAGGTAGGGAGATGCAGACTTCCGGGTTGGGGCCCTCGGGACTCTAAGAATCAATGGCTGGAGACAATAGGCGACATGGCTCAAAATCGTTGTCAATGGCTTACGCTGATGTATTCATTCTCTTGTGTAATCTTTCATATTCCTTTCTACCATTACTCATTCTGTTTCACTCTTATACTTGTCAAAACTCTACTGATTCTCTTCACTCATCCTTCTTGTCTACCTTTGTGTGGTATTTGGAACGTGGCAAATGGAACTGCTGCACTTCGGTGCCAAGTTCTATGTTGAATCCAGACAGACAGAGACAGCTTAATTATAGTCCTTCTGAAACTTTCTCTCCCGCTATTCTATGTCTTCCTCTGTGTGGCACATGGAGTGTGGTGATTCGAAGTGCTGCTGCATTCCTGTGTGAAGTCCCATGCAGACATCAGCCGTCAGTTAAGCAGTCAATACGATCTTCAAGAGAGACCTGAGGATTTTCGGTTTTACACTTGATACATGCGTGATTCGCTGCTTCAAAGCAAGAACAAACTATTATCATCAATGGGGGGATCACTGACGTGACAATCAGTTGCTCTTCTTAAATCTCAACATACAAAAAGGAGATGTGATGGGACATTGTAAAGTCCATCTACAGAGAAGAAAATTGGACTGGCCAATGGTTGTCATATCACACAGTTTCCGCCCGATTGACTAAAGACGGAACCTGGTGGTGATGAAAACGTTCTTCAAAAGGGACCTAGATCGTTGCGTTCAGAAATGATAAGATCGAAGAGGAACTCGCAGTCATCAGAAAGAACCTTATCAAAAAAGGGATACCCTGCAATGTTCATGTCAAAATATGAGAAAGAGAAACCATCTAGACTGAAATAGTTGAAAAGAAACCAGTTTCCATCTGTCTAGCTAGCTTACAAAGGCGAAGAAGTATCCATGTGAACGGAAAACACAATAAGAGGCATTAAAAAGAACACTTCCCGACGCCAAACTCATTTGCCTTTACAACACAGTATGCTCGTTAACCCAGTCGAAGGTAGACAAGTACCCTACTCCGTATGTCAACTCCAACTGTATTTACCAATTCACTTGCAATTGTGGCAGCAAGTACATAGGATGAACTGAGAGGAGGAAAGCATCTACAAGATTCTCCAAGCATATCCATAAGAGTCTCCGTTTGAAAGACAGTAAAGTGTTGTGAAGTGCAATCGCTAGACACGGGACATACACAGTGGAAATTAGCCTGCACGCTTTCAAAATAATCAATACACAAGGAAAAGCATCGCTACTTCGGTTCACAGAAGCCACCACCATCAAAAGACTTCCACCCAGCTAATGCATGCAGAAAGATAGTCTCACTAATCTCTCACTACCCTATCTGGTAACTTTAATTGTTTCATTCGTATGCTTCTGTGGTTTGTTTTGCTCTGTTGCACAACTTTCCACTCAATTTCCGGTTTGATTTTCACTCACTCACTCATTCACTGAGTTGAACTCACTACTAAGTTCCCAAATCTACCAAAATTAAATTATTTCACCTATTTTGTAATTTTAATTCACTATTCACACATACACACACCCTCCTCAACTCTCTACCATCATACGTGCAAATTCACTCTGTTGTTCTATCTTGTAGTTTTGTCTCTAATCCACTCCTGTTTCCAAGATAAATCTGAAGTTTACCCCCTTGTCTAATCGCTATGTAAATAGTCACTATTTTAACACTGAATAATTCTCTACTTACATCATCTTTGAAAATATGTTACCCCTATACTTTCTTTGTATAACACTTGAGGTCATTGTAAAAAGTATGTTCATACACCATTTTGTAGCTTAGAATTTGATTGTGTTTAGGATGTAGGCAGCAGTTGAAGAGAATCAATAATACACGAAATAGAACGAGTAGGTATTATCAACGGGTTATCAGCGGGTTGTATGATATTGCCAGGCGGATCAAACAGCAACACTCTACACGCATCATCCAGCGAACAGAGTACAGAATGGCAGTCAAACCTCTACGTCAACTTTATTTTTGCTACGAAAAGGCTTTTTTGAATGGGGAACGACGAGTGGGACGTTGTTCGAGGGTAACATGGAGAAGATCGTGTGAGCAGAAGGAGGAGGGAGATCAGAGGCTATGGGAAATAGTTGGGGCCAGTTGAAGGGAGTTGCAGAGAACTGGGTTAAATTTAGATGTGCTATGGAAACCCTTCGGGAAT